TTGTATGCGGTAACTATTAAGGTTTGATCTCCGAAGGGTTTGTAGACTACAGACATAGAATTACCATTAAGATTTGATCTCTGAAGGGTTGTTACCGCATACAACGTAGACTACAGACATAGAATTACCATTAAGGTTTGATCTCCGAAGGGTTGTTACCGCATACAATGTAGACTACATACATAGAATTATGTTGTATGCGGTAACATTAAGGTTTGATCTCCGAAGGGTTTTGTTTGTTGTTAAGCGCAAAGCTACAAAACGCAGTATCTGTGTTCTGTTCAACACAGGTATTGAAATCCAATTTCTAGCGTTGTCAGCTCACAGACTTACCACTAAGCCACGGGAAGAAGGGGGAGGGGGCAAACGTACACTATCTGCACGATGTTCACCTCGGGGAATCGAACCCTGGATTTTAGCGTTGTAGCTTCTTAAACTGACCAAATGGATATCTATAGCTGAGCTTCAACTACAGCAGCTTGAAAGGATGCATATGTTTGAAGTAATGGTCAGTGGTTCACTGACCACTAACATTTCCGCTTCTTCATCATAAACTCCTTCATCTTAAGTGGCCAAAATTTCGATCTATAAGAAAAAGAAAAGCTAAGACAAATATTAATACGAGCTTAATATACAACTCCTGTGGAAGAAACAACGTGTTTTATAGTATCTAAACAAATCGGAGACACAATGCAGTATTATACACGTGTTTTGGTTTTACTAAGAAACAGTTGTAACAACAACTGTATTGACTTCACGATAAGATTTATTTCTTAAGTGAATTAATTTTGAGTATTTCTCTGCTGAGAAAGTTCACCACGATTATAACAACTGAGAAAAACCATCAAACTCATGACGACTTCACTTCTGAGAAGACCCATCAAGCTCATAACGACTTCACTTCTGAGAAGACCCATCAAACTCATGACGACTTCACTACTGAGAAGACCCACAAACTCATGACGACTTCACTATTGAGAAGACCCACAAACTCATAACGACTTCACTATTGAGAAGACCCGCAAATTGATAACGACTTCACTAATAAGAAGACCCACCAAAGTTATGATGACTTTACTAATGAGACGACCCACAAATTGATAATGACTTTATTACTTGGAAGACCCATCAAACCTGTACTTGCGTTTAATTCTTGGTCTGTTCTAAAACACAGTACAAAAAAAAATCACTGTTTTGGAGTTGGTTCTGGGTTGAAATTGTTTAATTAGACGTAGTGAAATTTTGTTTCTGAAGGATGTCTTTATTATGTATTGATCTCCGAAGGGTTGTTACCGCATACAATGTAGACTACAGACATGGAATTATGTTAATTTTTTTTTTCAAAATATTTTGGCACGTGTGTAATGTTCAATCTTAAAAACTAAAATATTTTTAAAAAACAACGATCATTTTATACACAATTCTATAAAAAATGAGATTGTTTCCAGTCTCCAAATTACTAACATAATAACTTACTGTACAGGATAAAAAGTGGTAAAAACTCCGATGAGACTGGAAAACAATCTCATACACTCTACATGTTTCGACGTGTACCCTTGCGTCATCCTCAGGAGTGTCAAATAAAATACTGAACATAGTATGAAGAAATTCTGATGAAACATAAGAAGAAAAACTTTAATATAAGTTTAACATAACAGCAAATGTACAACTTTTCGACAAGGTTTTGTCATCATCACCTGATTCGAGTGCCCTAGCCCCCTAGTGGCACAGCGGCATGTCTGTGGACTTAAAACTCTAGAAACCGGGTTTCGATACCCGTGGTGAGCAGAGCACAGATAGCCCTTCATGTAGCTTTGTGCTTAATTACAATCAAATAAACAAACGAGCGCCCTAACCATCTGACCATGCCAGGACTCTAATGTGAAGCAAAGATAAAGAAAGTTATGCATAATCCGTAGCTGTTATGTTCATTTAGGAAATTTATTTTCATAACATTTTAATGGAAGACTGTTATAAAAAATGTCGAAATTGTCAGTGTGAAAAACAAGTTGTATTTACCTCAAAATTAAAAAATAAGTATTGTGTGAAATTTGTTGAAAGAAAAATCTCTATCCAAAAGTTTGTGTGTTAGTGTTCTAGTCCTCTCTCTCTGTAAAGTCTTCCAAACTGCAACGAATTAATGTTCTAGTCCTCTCTTTCTGTAAAGTCCTCAAAACTGCAACGAATTAGTGTTCTAGTCCTCTCTCTGTAAAGTCTTCCAAACTGCAACGCATTAGTGTTCTAGTCCTCTCTCTCTGTAAAGTCTTCCAAACTGCAACGAATTAGTGTTCTAGTCCTCTCTTTCTGTAAATTCTTCCAAACTGCAACGAATAAGTGTTCTAGTCCTCAAAACTGCAACGAATTAGTGTTATAGTCCTCTCTTTCTGTAAAGTCCTCAAAACTGCAACGCATTACTGTTCTAGTCCTCTCTCTGTAAAGTCTTCCAAACTGCAACGAATTAGTGTTCTAGTCCTCTCTCTGTAAAGTCTTCCAAACTGCAACGAATTAGTGTTCTAGTCCTCTCTCTGTAAAGTCTTCCAAACTGCAACGAATTAGTGTTCTAGTCCTCTCTCTCTGTAAAGTCTTCCAAACTGCAACGAATTAGTGTTCTAGTCCTCTCTCTCTGTAAAGTCTTCCAAACTGCAACGAATGCTAG